TGGTTAGTTGTTTATCCTGAAACCAACTAAGTAGCAAATAATGTTTTAGCAGTGTTTCTCCCCTTTTTTCAGCAACTGACTGCCTAAATGGTGCTGTTAAATCCAATTTGTGTCATTAGATACTTATAAGCAATATCTAAATGCCAGGATCTATATTGTAAAATTAAGTTGTCAACTGGATTGATAATGGTTTGAATTTCAGTCTTAGATTCAACAGTCATTTATTAAACAACTACTATGTATGCAGCACTTTTGTTCTTTAGTTTGTTTTTGATATATCCATATTAGTAGTATGGTAAGTATATGTCTAAATTGTGACTGAATTGTACATTCAAGAATTTGAGCCCCGACCAGTGTGGCTCAGTTGGTTGGGTGTCATCCCACAAACTGCAAGGTCACCAGTTTGAGTCCTGGCAGGGCACATGCTTGGGTACACGTTTCTCATTATACTTATATTGAACAGTATTGTTCTGGAATTCTTACAAGAAACTTAAAAGTTATACTTTCATGTTATCCTTGCTGTTAAAATGCTAATTATAATAAATGGTGTTTATAATTTAGATTATAAGAAGACCAGTCTAGGTCCTTACATAAAAGTTTTTGAACAGTTTCTTGAAAACCTGGATAAATCCCGAAAAGGAGAACTTCTCAAGAAGAGTGGTAAGACTCTACCTTTCCCTTTTTGCTATTTAGATCATAGTATGGTAGTTTAAAGCATCCAGTGAATGAGCAACTTTAGAACTCTCATCTTTATCCTCCCAAAAATGTTACTGGTTTATCTTACTATCCTTAGCATTTTTCCAAATTAAGGTCCCTTAATTCAGTTCAACACATATCATTAAACACCTTCCAAGTGTCAGGTACTATAAGGGACACAAAGATGAATTATAGAAAGATGAATTCCACACCACGCCGCCCTGCCTTTACGAAGTACTAACTGGTACAAAAGAAAAAAATACAAGGTGCTAAGAAAGAGATCTCAGCTGATTAAAATAACGTGAGAAGATTTCATATTTAAAAAAAAAAGGGGGGGGTGTCATTGGAACTCTTTTCAGTAAGCTGCTATATGAAGTCTAACCCCCAGGGCCAATATACCGTGCCTTGAAGTAAGAGTACGATTTCCACAAGCAGAGATTTGATGAAATTGGGGTATGGGAGTGGAAAAAAGAGACAGGTTGTTATTCTTGAAGGAATATCAGAAGCAAAGGCATAGAGACGAAAAAGCATTGGGTCACTCTGGAGGTCATCAATTAGTGTAGCTAATCAGAAAAAAAGCTGTGTCAGGAAATGATGAGCTAGAAATCCGAAGAAGCAGACTAAGGAAGGAAGTGCCATGATTTGTAGTTTTATCTAGAAAGATAAATCTAGCAACAGTATATCTGGAGAGCGGTAGAGGATAGAAAGATCCCAAGAGGCCAGTTGGGCTATTACCATTAGGACAGTAGCATTGGAGATCTCCAAAAGGTGCAACCCTTGAGACCCAGTAATGATTTGGAAGTGGAGAGATGAAAGATGGAGGTAAAAGTGCCATAGAAGACAGGGGAAAGAAAAGTTTCAAGAATATTATCAAGTGTCAAATGCAGTAGGTAACTGATAAAATATTGTTGCATATAGGAACTAGAGGGAGTTGCTAAGAAGATAGTAGTGTCAAAGAAAGAGTTTTTTGGATAGGAGAGATCTGAGCATATGTGTAAGCAAAAAAAAAAATAAGCACTGAATATTATTTAAGAGATTGATGAATATCACAGAAAACTGTGGCAACATTATGGAAATACAAATGGCCTTTTCACTTTATTTTTAAATAAAATGTGTGATGGCTAAAGAACAGTGCCTAAGGTAATGCTCTACTCATAGTAGATACTCGCGTATGTGGTTATTGAATGAAAAATGATGACTCTGAACTTGGAAAACCTTGTCGAAGCTGCCATTCCAACTGGCCATATTAAGTCCTTTATACTCTTGCTCTGTACTAGCCCAGTCTATAATGTGGACCTCAGTAAATATGAAAGCAAATCTTTATGCATGATGTGAATTTAATGGGTGTATTAAGCAAATCAGAATGTGAAAATAAATGGGCTTTGTTTTGTTTTCCCTTGCTATCCTTTGATAAAAATCTGTTCTATTTTAGATTTACAAAAAGACTTCTGAAGATAACAACTCCCCTCCAACTAATATGGATAACTTCTACTTTCAACCAAGAAACAAATACTTCAAGAGCCATTTAATAAATATGGCAGAACCATCTATGCATTTAATGCTCAAAGCAAAATTTTCTTTTCTTGAGAAAAAATTATGTTGAAAAGATTCCTAAAGCCACCAAAGGAGAGTGTCCAAGTTCCTGGAAGGAGCAATAATGGGAGGAATAAATGCAGATAAATTTGTAACTTTTAATACTATATATACCAAGATAATCCTAAGATTTCTGATATAAATAACTCACTTCTACCAGTTTCCATATATAGAGGTAACTGAGCAGTAACATGCCCAAGAATTTAACCTCAGCTCATGGGATACAACCTCCATATTTCTGGAGTTAATATTTCAGGTGAATGAGGGCTTTGTCCTTAAGTCTTAGACACTTCAGTTAATTATACCTGTAGCATGTATTCAGTCACTTGTTTGCTTACTGATATTTTTATAGGTCAGGCCAACACCCCCACTGCCCATCTTTTAAAAATCATTTTAAACTGAGCATCTAAACCTACCAAAACTTTAATTCAAAAGAAGTGAGTTACTAGATTATAATATTATGGCCTAGCAGAGTATTATTTACAACTGCTGCAATTGCAGCTCCTTCTTCCCTTAGAAAACAATCAGAACCATTGGATTAGTCTACGTTGTAAAGAAACAGCTTAGAAAAAATAACCAACTTCATCAACATAAAACCTGTTACACTTGTCAAAACCTGTTACACTTGGACTTTCTATATATCCAAATACTTAAATTTAATTGTAAAGTTTTCATTTCTTCCACATTTGATTTTGTGATAGATATTAAATGCCAAATTTCTTTTGTCTGGTTTTACAACCAATCTAAATTAAACGATTCTGGTTTGCATTCTGTCTTCTGAAAAACACTGGGAAGTAACTATTAGTCTGGTACTTTCCATGATTTATAAAAATTTACCTTCTTTTGCATCTCCTTTAACATTGTTTTCTCTATAGTCACACAGTCTTTTTTTTTAATCTTTTGGTTTATATACAACACTATAATGTCAAATACTGAAATGCCTTGCATTTGTTTTCTAATTTTTTTAAGAAAAATATTAAAGACTATTGTGCAAAATTCCTCATTTGAGCTTCCGTGTACTATGTATTATTCAGTCTTCAGGTCAGGAAACAGTCGGTCAATTGAAATTCCTCAGTACAAAATTACTAAAGACTCATTGGTCCATCTTAGGAACTCAGAATGAGAGTGGAAAGTCTGGTATTCTTTCAGTGAGAACTTTTAACCTTCCAATATGTCTAGCATTGAAATATTTCAATGCTTTAATATTAAAGTGCTGGGATAAAAGCTGGTATACTAGCCCATAAAATTAATTATAGAACATTGTGCTCCTGTAAAAGAGTAAATGTTTCATTCTGATAATAGAAAAATGCTCAAAGACTATTGACTTCTCTATTGTCTGATTTACCAACTTGTCTCTATATGAATTGTAGAAACAAAGGGCACAGAACTGGTTTCCATCTCCAAATTTGGCCAATATACAGAGAAACCCAAAAAAAGAAAATACATCCTTCCTTAATGAGTAATGGGAAGAATGGTCAAAATGGAGGTAGTTTTGTCTAAGGAGATAATTAGCAATTGCTGGCCTTCTGAAGGTAAATGGACTGCATTGACAAATCTTCCAGATCACTAATTTACTTAGAAACTTTGTTAGAAATTCTATAATTTAAATAGTAACAATAAACACTTTTTAAGTAATGTACATATTTTAATTTAATCTTCCCAACAATCCTATCAAGTAGCTACCATTATCGTCATTTCATAGGTGAACAGACACAAATTGGTTAGTTAAATTGCCTAAGATCACTATTAGGTAACCAAGCTGAGATTCAGACAAAGTAGTTTGGCTTCAGAGTCCATGTTCTTAATCACAGTATTGCCTTTCCGATCTGAAGAGAATCAGAATTTCTCATTCCTGGTAAATACTACTTCATTTAATCCTGATTCATTAATTCTAATCCTCATTTCATTATGATAGAGATCTCGAAAATTTTGAAGAAACTTTACGAGCTTTTTAAATGCCCACTGCTTAAAAGGCAGCCACAATTGTCTTGAAGCCATAGCTTAATTGTTAGTTGGTTTTGGGTAATACATTTGAGTCCTTTTGTAGGGCTGACAGAGTATGGGAATCGGGGCCTTTTCATAAACAACTGATTTCACATTCTACTTTTCAAGAATATTACTGTATGGGTACTTAACATAGGATGCTGGATCCAAATGGATGCATTTCAAGCTCTATAAGTGCCCAAAATGTTAGGCAAAAAAAAAAAGTATACGTGCCTAAGTTGTTTTTTCTGTAAAGGGAATCTCTACCTTTATAATTTCAACATTAATCTACATTGTGTATTTCAAAAAAATTAACTTGTAGGTCACTGCTACCTTACAATGGTGTGGATAAAATCTGTGGCATTCCGTATTATTTAAAACCTCATATTTTCCCTCATTATTTAAGAAAGGAAAACGAAAAGTCAAAGAATTAATGCTGTGGCTATTTTGCTGACCGGAGTGCAGAGGTTGGTTTCTTCTCTCTTTGCATTGACCCTTCGCGTATCAAAATGCTTCGACGTGGGGGACGGCAAGGGGTCGGCTATCTAATGACCGCGTGGCTCGGGGCAGAGAGTTCTTGCCAGGCCAATGCGTCCAGTTCTGAATTCTTATCCTTATTTAGACCTTCACCACCCCCAATTGGGTACAGCCCTCCAGCCGCGGACGGGTCACTCTTTAAAGGAAGTGACTGCCTTCAGCTCCCGACCCGGAAGCAAATTCTAGCCCCTCCTTCTCTGCCAGGCTGCTTTCTGCAACAGGCGTGGGTCACGCTCTCGTTCGGTCTCTTTCTGCCGCCATCTTGGTTCCGCGTTCCCTTCACAGTAAGTTGTGTCTTTGCACCTACTCTCTATCCATAGCCATCCGCCTTCCTTGCGGACTAAGATACCCCGGGGGGCCGACAGTTAAGGAGAGATGGGGGCTTTATGTGGCCACCGGGTTCCTACTCGATCCTGAGAATTGTGGCTTTCGTGCCTTCGGACAAAATGGGGTCTGCGATTGGTGTCCTGGCAGAAGCACTGCGGGCCGGGCCGGGAATCCGAGGCTGGCGTGATGGGAGCCGCAGTGGTGTTGGGGGTGGAAGCAGAGTGTGTCTGCTGTTGGGAACGGCTTCACGAGAATCAGTAAGAGGTTAAGAGGTCACAGCCTTGCAAACTCGCCCCCTAAAACCGTTCTTACTGTAACAAACGAGTTTTTGGGACCTCTTTCCCCTTGATTTCCAAAAGTCAGCAAACGGGAGTCCCGTAGGTCCCAGCCCAGGCAGCATGAACGTAGGAGGGGAGGTGGTTCAAGGTAGCGTCTTTAAGTCTCCCATGGTCGGGAGCCAGAACGGGATCCTCTCTCGGGTTGAGGACGCAGTGCTGATTGCTGCCCTTGTGGGATTGGAAGTGTGGAATAAAACCAATCCCTGGGAACTGGAAAGTCCACTTTCTGCGGAGTGAAGAGGAGCGGTGAAAGAAGGTGATTGATTCGCTTGATTAGAGATCCGAGGGTCGCGTCACATTTCTCACTTACTGCCAGCTGCTTTGGGGAGGTTTGTCCCCAGACACCCTCATGATTTTTTTCCCCCACAGTCCCCCGCAGAGTTTGTAAGAATACCTGACTCTGGGTTGGGCAACAGAACGGATTCCAGTCAGTTCAGGCCTCCTTTTTATTCCCTTCAGAAATGCCCGGTGAAGCCACAGAAACCGTCCCTGCTACAGAGCAGGAGTTGCCACAGCCCCAGGCTGAGACAGGTAGGTTCCCCTAGCCCCCCTTGCTGTTAATTAAGATTGTGAGAGTAATGCTAAGACCGTTTGGTGGGTAAAGTGACAAAGGGAATAATACATTTCTGTCTTTCAGAGTTAACTCTTATTAAATAGGATGAAGTTGTAGCTCTGTCAGGGAATAATATTAATTGCTGTCTTGGAGGGACTCATTAAAAAGTGGGATTTAAAAAAAAAAGTGCAAGATTCAGGACTCCCTGGCCTGTTTTGTGGGTGTGGCAACTGCCTCAAAGGGATCTCTGATGTGGAACCCACCTCACCTAGGAAAACTGGGCAGAGCAAGGGAGGGGCTCGTCTATTAGAACTGAATGGCACACTGGCAGGCCAAGGAGACCTGAGCTTTTATGAAGTTCCAGCCAGCAAGTTGCATCAAGGGTTTAGATAGCAGAGCTTGGCGTTGTGCCGTCATCACATGTCTGAGATGTGTGCTGTGGTAGATGTGTCCTGCTGGGACCAAGGGCCCTTTTAGGTTGGTTTACATGTTTAATGGATTGGTGATGAGATGTTTCTAATGTACTGGAATAGTGCCTGCATCAAGAGCTTGTCTGGAACCCAAGATTGAAATAAAGCTTTGACTGCTATTCTGGTTAAAATACACCTCCATAAAATTTTAAAGGGGGTAATAGTGAAAAAAATTTTTTAGTGATGATATTGCTGAGTTGTACAAAACTAAATGAAGGGTATCTTTAGGCTGTAATCTTTTTTTTTTTTAACTGCACCTCTCACTTAAGGGCAATTTCTGTCTCCTGGAATTAAAATGGAGTTGTTTATAGTTGAAAGCATTTAAGTTCTCCCTCTCCACCTGTCTGATTTCAGCAGCTGAAGGGATTAATACAGCTGCTAGAAAAGAAGGAGGGGGTTCCTGAGCTGGGGAATGAGCTATATCAAATCCTTGAACTACAAGTGACTTAAGGGAAAAGATAAAGGACTGCTAGCACTCTAAAGATCTGTAATTTCCATGCTAAGTAAAACTGTAGAGTCTCATTAAACAACTTGATTTTGCAAACATGAAGGCTGAAATTCAGATGAGTTTAGAATAAGCTGGTTTCAGGCTTCAAAAGTAATGCGATTGTTTCTGAAGCAGCTCTTCAACAATGATACTAAACTCATTCCTGAATAGTTTGAGCTTGCATAGTAGGTTTAATAATATTAAGGGAACACCAGTGATAAACACTCATTTTTTTTTTCCTGAAAATATAATTAAATAATTAGAATATATGAGAAAACTAGTTCCGGGAATTGGTTATGGTTTCTAAACCAAGTAATTTGGCTCTTGTCCCATCTTGAGGTTCAGTCAGAGGAAAATATTTTAGGTTTCAAGTTCTGATTATGTTTGAAAGCATTTGCACTTTAATCATAAGACTAACCTACCAACTGTTCAGGAAAAGCTAGTTGAGTTGCCTGTCTTGTCTTTGGTAGAATACACTTAAGAAAATTGTGGATTTGAATGCTACAGGCTTTTTGTTTTGTTTTAAATACTTCCTTCAAGGTGTTGAGCATTTGTTGCTCTCCTGCTGTGTTATTTCCTGAATAGTAAGAATGGGTTTTTCATTCAGAGAATCTTGATTAGCTTTAGTGCCAGATATTGGTCTATTTTTTGGCAGAATGACATACTTACCCAGATTAAGGGGTGGGGATTTAATGTATTCTCTCCACTGCAATTCTGTTTCCAAAATAGAACTACAGTCTGGTTTAACAAGTTGGGTTACAGTTTCCTAATGCAGTCCCTACTCTTGTGACTAAGCTCTCTCCCCGGCAGTCTAATTCATCTGAGGCTGATGTCTGAAGAGCTAAGATTACCTGGGAAGGTCTGTAGAGACTATGGAGTACAACTCATTTGTGATTGGTTTATTTGTTTTGAGTAAGTAAACTGAGGTACAGGAAGACCTAAGTGGCCTGATTCCCCATCATCACCACACACTACCTTCCTTGTTTCAGTTGTTGGTATCTGTTTTAGTTAGTTCATGGTCCTTGGGTAAACAAGGTGAAAGAGCTGTTTTTCTGATAGTGATTATGTGGCCTATGAGAAAGAGTTAGGGTTCATTTGAGGAAGGGAGGGAGGGGTATGTTCTTAATAGACCACTGAAGTATGTTTTGGAATGTTTGCTATTGTCTGTCACCTTTGTCTAATCCTATAGGGTGACTTTCCCCACATTAAAAATTCCAGTGTTCCTTATGAAACATGTGCTGAGTTGGGCTGCATAACTCACCTTTATTTTTTTCCTTCCCTTTCCTTTTTTATTCCCTTTTTTGCTTTTCTCCAGCTGTGCTTCCTGTGTCTTCAGCCTTAAGTGTTACTGCTGCCTTAGGGCAGCCTGGACCTACCCTTCCCCCTCCTTGCTCTCTGCCCCCCGAACAGTGCTCTCTGGCAACCTGCCAACCTGCCCCATTCCTCTCTCCCTCTACTGTTACCTCAACCCCTTTTGAAGCTCCTTTTCCCCAGTCATCTTCTGGGACAACCCTGCCTTTGGAAGCAGCCCCTTCCCTCCATGACACCCCAGCTTTCCTACCAAACTTAATAGGGCCTCCCATCTCCCCAGCTGCCTTAGCTCTCGCCTCTCCCATGATAAGTACAACTCTGAAAGGTGCCCATTCCTCCTCAGCTCCCTTGACTCTGGTGGCCTTGGCTCCCCACTCAGTTCAGAAGAGCTCTGTTTATCCACCTAACCCTCCTAGTTCACCTCCTTCAGTTGCTTTGGCTGAGTCAGGGTCATTGACACCTCTGTCAGCTCCCAGTGCTTCATCAGAACCAAAGACCCCACTTACTCAAGCACCTTCCCAAGTAGTCCATGATCCAAAAGTTACCCCCATCCCTCCATATACAGCCAGTGCTGTTCCTTCCCATCTTGTGACTCCCCTGGCCTCTGCTCAATCTGGAGTAGGCTTATGTGCTCAGACATCACCCCCTACTCCCCTAGCCATGCCTTCCCCTCAGGTCAAAGGTATTTCTATTTCCTCAGCTCTGACTTCTCCACAAAACTCTGTAAGCCTCAGCCTAAAGGGACCCCTTAGTCCACCTGCTGCCTTACCTCTTTCAACCCAATCTGTGCCTGTGGCTCCCAGTGTCCCCCCAGTTTTCCTCACCTCTGTGGGCTCTCATCTTGTACCTTCACAGCAGAGTTGTGTTGGCTCTCCTGTGCAACCTGTAGGTCAAACAGGTCCCAATATCCTTTCAGACCCTATAGTGGATACCACTTCTATAGATCATTCTTCTTTGAGGGCCTCTTACCCTTCTCAGCAGTCTGTAGTTTCTCCCCTTCCTTCCAGAAGTGAGGTGGTTCCTGCTGCTGTGGCTGCTTTTCCAGTGGGGGCTTCAGCTTCCCCTCTGGCTCTATCTGTTGAGAAAGGACCTTCTGCCACCACTAGTGTGTCCTCCAGGAGCCCTTATTGTTCCTCAAATGCAGCTGCCTCCTCTTCCTTATCTTCTACTGCCTCTCTCAGTCTCAAAGGCTCTTCTAATACCACTCATCAGCAGCCTTTGTTGGCCCAGATTCCTCCTGCTTCTCCAGGAAGTCCAAGCTTGAAAGAAGCCCCTGTTTTTTCTGTTGGAACCACCTCACTTGTGATGACTAACCCCTCCTCAATTTCTGCAACAACTACCACCTTTGGGGTAGCTACTTGTGTCTCTCCTCCCATTTCCTCAGGTCCTGTAAGTAGTAAGAACTCAGCTTCCCATACTGCCTTGGCTATGGCACCTGTGGCTCCCAAAGAGCCTCCTACTCCTCAGGTAACAACCACTCCTCTGTCAGCCCCTGAGGACCCCAGAAGTCTCCCTGCTTCGGTATTGGTAAAGTCCCCAACCCAAAAAGATCTACAAACTGAACCTGCCTCTCCTGTAGGAGTCCCTATTTCATCAGCCCAGGCAGGACTCCCTGCCAAGAAAGACCCTACTCTACTATCATTGACCCTGGCAGCCCCTCAGAATCCCCCCTCTCCCCAAAGTACATCTTCTCTGGAGGTATCTCTTTGTCCAGGAGACACCTTAGCAAGCAAAAGCATAGTAGAGCCTCTGCAGGTAGTTAAGCCAGATGCTGCTGCTTCCCCCACTCTGGGTGTTATTTCCCCAGCCTCTATAATCAAGACAGATGCTTATGCAAGCCCAGACCACGCTAGTCTGCTTGTCAAAAGTTCTCTTACTACAGCTATAGCTACATTTTCTTCAGAAAGTGCTGCCACTTCTGGGGTGGCTCCTACAACAACCAAAGGAATCTCCACTCCTGCAACTACAGCCAGCTCTTTTCTAGAAGGAACTGTCTCTGTAACTCCTAAAAGCCACTCAGCCAAGGAGGGTACTTCCATTCTTACTACTTTACCTTTGGTTTCTCCCACCTCTGAAAGTTGCTCTGTGTCACCAGCTATGACTTTATCCCCACAGAATGTTTCTGCTTCTCCAGTTCCTGTGGCGCTGGCTTCTGAAATTTCCAAATCAGAACCCTTTCCCTCTCTTCCCTCAGCTGGTACTAAAGTTGGAAAGAAAGTTCATGGTATTTCTCAGACCTCAATATTGGCACCTGTGGCTTCTCCTGAAGGATGCCCAACTGAGGACTCTGGTGTTTCTGTTACTTCTTCCAAAGGAACTTACCTGGCCGACTCCCCATCTCCTTTGGTGACTAATGTGTCTCCTCAGACTAAAAGACCTCCAACCAAGAAGGGTTCAGCTACTTCTACTGCCTTAACTCTTGCTCCTTCTATTTCTAAAAGTGTACCTGGTCTCTCTGATACTCCTTTTGGAAATCTCTCATCTCCTGTTTCTCCAATTGAAGCTTCCTTTCTTCCAGAGGCCAATTTTTCTTTTCAAGTCCCTGAAGGATCACTAGCCAAGAAGCATGCCCCCACTCCCTCATCCCTGAAAGACGCCCCCACTTCCCCAGCTGTGGCCTTTCCCTCTCCTAAAGGGTGGCCAGCAACCCCATCCCCCAAAGGAGCCCTGGCTACCCCACCTCCCAAAGAGGCCTCTCCTCCCTCAACTATGGCTCCTGCATCCCAAAAAGGGGACCCAGCAACCTCATCCCCTAAAGAGAACTCCAAACCCCCAACTATGGCTCTGTCCTCACCCAAAGGGGCCCCTACTTCCCCAGCTGTGGCCCTTTCCCCCAAAGGAACCTCAGCAACTTCATCCCCCAGCGAATCCCCAGCTGCCCCACTTACCAAAGGGACCTCAGCAACTCCTCCCAAAGGCACAGTGGCAACACCATCCCCTAAAGAGTCTTTAGTGGCTCCAGCGATTCCGTCCCCCAAAAAAGCCCCCGGAACCCCACCCTCCAAAGGGGTCCCTACTCCCTCAGCTGTGGTTTCTCCTTCCCACAAAGAATCTTCAGCCCCCAAAGAAGCCTCAGAAACTTCATCTCCCAAAAGAGCCCTGGCTACCCCAGCCCCCAAAGGGATCCCAGCAACTCCATCCCCCAAAAAGCCATCAGCTACCCCAGCCCCCAGAGGGGCCCCTATTCCCTCAGCTGTAACTCCTCTCTCCCCCAAAGAGGCCTCAACAATTTCATCCCCCAAAGGAGCCCCAGCAACTCCATCCCCTAAAAGATCCCCAGCTACAATTTTGTCCCCTAAAGAGACCTCCACTCCCTCAGCTTCTCCATCCCCCAAAGAGCTTTCAGCTGCTCCAGCCCCCAAAAGGGCCCCAGCTACCCCAACCCCCAAAGGGGCCCCTGCAACTCCAGCCCCCAAAGAGCCTTCAGCTACCCCAGCCCCCAAAGGGGCCCCTGCAACTCCAGCCCCCAAAGAGCCTTCACCTACCCCAGCCCCCAAAGGGGCCCCTGCAACTCCAGCCCCCAAAGAGCCTTCAGCTACCCCAGCCCCCAAAGGGGCCCCTGCAACTCCAGCCCCCAAAGAGCCTTCAGCTACCCCAGCCCCCAAAGGGGCCCCTGCAACTCCAGCCCCCAAAGAGCCTTCAGCTACCCCAGCCCCCAAAGGGGCCCCTGCAACTCCAGCCCCCAAAGAGCCTTCAGCTACCCCAGCCCCCAAAGGGGCCCCTGCAACTCCAGCCCCCAAAGAGCCTTCACCTACCCCAGCCCCCAAAGGGGCCCCTGCAACTCCAGCCCCCAAAGAGCCTTCAGCTACCCCAGCCCCCAAAGGGGCCCCTGCAACTCCAGCCCCCAAAGAGCCTTCAGCTACCCCAGCCCCCAAAGGGGCCCCTGCAACTCCAGCCCCCAAAGAGCCCTCACCTACCCCAGCCCCCAAAGGGGCCCCTGCAACTCTATCCCCCAAAGAGCCCTCAGCTAAAACTCCAGCCCCCAAAGGAGCCCCAGCTAAAACTCTAGCCCCCAAAGGGGCCCTAGGTAAAACTCCAGCCCCCAAAGAGCCCTCAGTTACCCCAGCCCCCAAAGGAGCCCCAGCTAAAACTCCAGCCCCCAAAGAGCCCTCAGCTACCCCAGCCCCCAAAGGAGCCCCAGCTAAAATCCCATCCCCCAAAGAGCCCTCAGCTACCCTAGCCCCCAAAGGGGCCCCAACAACTTTATCTCCCCCAAAAGTCCCAGGAACCCCATCCACCAAAGGGGGCCCAACAATCCCATCCCTCAAAGACTCCCCTACTTCCCCAGTTTCTGTCACATATCCCTTGGGATCCATTGCCCCTCAGGCACCTGGAGGGCCCCCAATAACAGAAGGTTCCACAGCTCTCAAAGCAGTACATGTTCCAGCTCCCACTCAGAAAGGTCCCCCAGCCAAGAAGAGTTCACCTCCTGTGTGCCCTGATTCCTCAGCTAAGAATGGTGCTAAAGGACCTCTTTCTACAGTGGCTCTAACCCCTCTACTGACAGTCTCCACTCAGAAAGGCACATCTGCAAAGGCTCCAAAAGCCCTCCCTGTTTCTCCCTTAAAGGGCAAAGATTCTTTTCATTCTCCAAAGGGTCTTTTGGCTCCTCATCCTAAGTCTGAGACATCTGCACATCTAGCAACAGCTGCCTCTGAGAAGGTCCTTCCTAAAGCTGGGGCAGCATCTGTCTGTCCAGAACCTACCCCATCAGTCTCTCTGCCTCTTGCTTCTTCCCCAGTTCCCCCTCTGCTTCCTAAACAGCAACCTCTGCCGTCCTCACCTGGGCTGGTGCTGGAATCACCCCGTAAGCCCTCAGCCCCTGCTGATGAGGATGAGCTGCCGCCTCTGATTCCCCCGGAACCAATCTCGGGGGGAGTACCTTTCCAGTCGGTCCTCGTCAACATGCCCACCCCCAAACCTGCTGGGATCCCTGCCCCAACCCCCTCTGCCAAGCAGCCTGTTCTGAAGAACAACAAGGGTATTTGCCTTGGTTTGCCGTGTGCATGGTGTGTCGCCCACACCCCTCCTGGGGGCTACCCACCAATACTAACCCTAGGATGCGCCACTTTCTCCAGAATATCTGCTTGTGTTTGGACATAGAACATAGAATGATAATATTAAATGCAAAAGCTCTAGGAATATGAAACAGAATCTTGGTTTTCATCACTTCAGATAGTCCATTGTGTACCATCTTTTGTAATGGGGTCCAGACTAACCCTGAGTGCGCCATCATTTTACCTAACTGATGTGACTTTGAAAACCAAGACCTACTAGACCTTAAATTTGCTCTAATTTCTACCACATCACTAACCTTGTCCCTGGGCCTGGGATTTGCTAAAATATTGGGAAACTGTTGAATATTGGAACTATTTAAATTCCTTTAGTAATAACCAGTGCCCAGGGACTTCCTTTTCTTAAAAGACCTATTTTTCCTAGTCTGAGAATGGTGTAGGTATCTGCTTTTCCCCCTCAGTAGTCTTAATTGATGCTTCGCCTTTCAACTGAGGAAAACTTAAAATATATTAATTATGTTTGAAAAACATGGGAGAGGTCACAGGACAATTACTAGTAGAGGTGACTATTGGCAACTATAGGTTGATATCATTGAGAATCTTTGAGTTATATTGATTAGATCAAATTGCTAGGGTGAGTGGTTTGAAAATAAGGCTAAATGTGTGTACATAACTGCTTCTGGCCTCCCCCAGCCCAATTTAAAGGATGAGGGGAAAGTGCCCTTCCAGGTCTGCTGCCATAGTGTGATCTTGCTTTTTACTTCATTGCACCTGCAGACACCTTGTCTGCCAGAACCTTTCTGGAGTGGTTGGGCTGTTGGGTAGGATTTGGAGTTAACATAGGTCATTGGTGTTTGCCTATGCCAAGAAATGAAGACCTTAAGGGAAAGGAAGCAGTTATAGTATATAAACTCTTCAACTGTATCTAGTAATTACCTCTCATTTCTTGGGCTGAGTCTTTAATGGATGTATGCAGACTAGTTTGTGAGTAAGTGGGGGGCTATGAAGCTGACATTAGACAAGTCAGCTGATTTTACATTTAAACTTTGCAAGGTTTAGCATAAGCCAGTGACCTCTACTCCAGGCAGGCTGTGATGAAGTGCCTCCTTTTTATAATCTCTACTATAAAATAGTGAAAATTATTTTTTCATCTTAGGGTCTGGAACAGAATCTGACAGTGATGAATCAGTACCAGAGCTCGAGGAACAAGATTCCACACAGGCAACCACACAACAAGCTCAGGTGGGTGTTCTCTTACTCATTGGTTCTAAGTACGTAGGTCAAGGAAGCATTGGAGAACTAGGGAACCAGTGTTGATCAGAAAAGATGACTTGTGTATTTGGAGCTATAAACCTTCATAAAGAGAAAACCACAGGGAATTGTGGAATCCAAGTTTTATGTTCCAGCTTACTGTTTTATTTTAGCTGGCAGCGGCAGCTGAAATTGATGAAGAACCAGTCAGTAAAGCAAAACAGAGCCGAAGTGAAAAGAAGGCACGGAAGGTAAGATTTTAAGTTATAAACAAGGATTAAACCTTCTAATGAAGCAACTTTAGAGGGGAGGAACTATAGTGGAACTCTTGGTGGTAGTAGAATCCTGTTTAGTTAAAATAATAGAAGTTAATTTGGCCAAAAACCCAGAGGTCCTGAAAAATGATTGTTTATTCTTATATATAAACTTTGCTTAGCCCAGAGAATGGCTTTGTTTTGGATGTGGTATTATGGTCCTTATTTCCTGAAGCTGCGTCTAAAAAAAGTTGAAACTGCCCTGACTGCTGTGGCTCAGTTGGGCGGCGTCCCACAAAATACATATGGCTGGGTTGCAGGTTCAGTACTAGGTTGGGGTGCATACAAGAGGAAACCCAATCGATGTTTCTCCTCGTCTCTTTCTTCCTCCCTTCCGCTCACTCTAAAAATAAATAAAGTCTTTTTTAAAAAATGAAGTTGAAAAGCTGATGTTCTTTTCTGTTCCTTAGGCTATGTCCAAGCTGGGTCTTCGACAGGTAACAGGAGTGACTAGGGTCACTATCCGGAAATCTAAGAATATCCTTTTTGTCATCACAAAACCAGATGTCTACAAGAGCCCAGCTTCAGATACCTACATAGTTTTTGGGGAAGCCAAGGTAAGGAAAATTATCATGGGAGTTGCTCTAGAACAGGGTTTCTCAATCTCAGCCCAATTGACATTTGAGGTCAGTAATTCTTAGTTGTGGAAGGGCTGCCCTATGCATCAAAGATGTTTAGCGGTATCGCTTCCACTTGTGATTGCCCCCCAAAAAAATCTCTAGGTATTTGATTGATGTCCTCTGGGAGACAGAGTCCACCCCCAAGTTGAGAATCACGACTTTAAACTTAAGCTACTTTTACAATGATACATAATCTAAGTGAGGGCAAGGAATTTAAAGCTATGTAGTATGTTAATCTAAAGTGAGTTTAGAGTAAAAGTTTGGAAAAGATGTAAATAATTTCTTTCATTTACTACAGACAGCTCTACTCACATGAATCTGTTTTCTGCTCTGCAGATCGAGGATTTATCTCAGCAGGCACAACTAGCAGCTGCTGAGAAATTCAAAGTTCAAGGTGAAGCTGTCTCAAACATTCAAGAAAACACACAGACTCCAACTGTACAAGAGGAAAGTGAAGAGGAAGAGGTATACAAGGAAGTCTTTTTGTAGTTTTAATCTTCTCCAGATAGTCATATATTTGTATTGATGGGTAGAGTCCATATTGTTTTAGTCTCCTGTATCTCATTGAGTGAAGTAGTTTTTGTGTTAAATTAAGAACTAGATTCAAAGGACTCCTGACTCCAACACAATACACTGAAGTTGTTCTTTGTCTTTAGTTTATTACATGTACAATATTTTTGCTCTCTTAGGTTGATGAAACAGGTGTGGAAGTTAAGGACATAGAATTGGTCATGTCACAAGCAAATGTGTCAAGAGCAAAGGCAGTCCGAGCCCTGAAGAACAACAGTAATGATATTGTAAATGCTATTATGGTAAGTGTCTGATCCTTTATTCCTTGGTTCCCTGTGACCTGATCAATTATGGGTGGTTTTATTTTCTGTGCTTATTATCAACCAATTAGGAAGCCTCATTCCAAAGCCCATCCTGAGTTGCCTTAAGTTTTAGTGACCTGAATTCTCTCAGTTTGTCTGTACCTCTGATGATTTCTTTTCTCTTACAGGAATTAACGATGTAACCATCTGAAAGGAGGGCCCCGGGACCCCCCCCCCTTTTTTTCTTTTTCTTTTCTTTTTTTTTTTGGGGTGTTTTGAGAGTTATTGCAGCTTGGTTTGAAATTTGTACTGTTTCTATCATTAATAAAGTTACAGCTTCTTGTGGGATGAACTCAGTGGATGCTTGATCTCTTCCCTCCACCCCCCCATCGCCACAAAGCATGAACACTTTGGAGATTACATTTATTACTCTTAAGACCTCAGTTTCAGTTGAAAAGATTTAGTGCCACGGATTGATTACCCCTTAAAATCTCAGCCTTTTCACTTGTAAGAAGGAAGGTATTGTGCTAGGCTATTTAATTAGGACCTTGTCTTCAGAAAATACAAGTTAATTGTAAAGTTTTGCAGTTCAAGTTTCTTTCCCAGATGTTAACTATTAGTAGATGCTGGTTATTTATTTAATAATCAGCCCCCTCTCTAACATACAGTCTTTCTGAACACATTGGGTCTCATCTTTCCTCTGTGAGAGGCAGTTCACATTGATTACATTTTGACCATAAGCTTGGTAGAGTTGGACAGTGTACACAATAGGTGTAGTTGAAAAGACAATACTTTGTGCCCTGGCTGGTGTGGCTGAGTGGATTGAGCGCCAGCCTATGAACCAAAAGGTCACCAGTTCAATTTCTAGTCAGGGCATATGCCTGGGTTGCAGGCCAGATCCTCAGTGAGGGGAGAGTGTGAAAGGCATCAGATCAATGTATCTCTCATACATTCACACATCAGTGTTTCTCTCCCTCTCTTTTTCCCTACCTTCCCCACTCTCAAATGAGTGAAATCTTTTTTTAATTTTTAAAAATTTTATTTATTTTTAAAGAGAGGGGGAGGAAAAGAAAAAGGACAGAAGTGTCAATGTGCGGTTGCCTCTCAAGCGCCCTCCACTGGGGGTCCAGCCCACAACCCAAGCATGTTCCCTGCCCAGGAATTGAACCGGTGACCCTTTAGTTCACAGGCCAGTACTCAGTCCGCTCAGCCCCAGCAGCCAGGGCTAAATAAGTTAAATCTCTGGAGAGAGAGCACTTTGTATAACATCAAAAGGTACCTCATGAAGGAGAGGATTTTGAGTAAAAAGACAATGCAGAAGCTCTGCTCTTAGACATTTTAATCTACAAAGTAAATTATAATTAGGGTAGTCATAATTTCACTAAGACAATGAGTAAACACCAGAACTACACCAGGCAAACTGGTACATGTGGTTAGCCAGTTTATGATAAATATACATTGTGCTGTAGGAAGTCCTAAAAAAGTATAAAGTTTGAGTTTTGGTTGTTGGAATATAATCTGGGGGAAAACGGGACTAAAATTTGGTTATAGGAAAACTACAAGTAACTTCGAAGCAAGAATTCTAAAATGAATAATGATATATCTAGAAGGAGTATCATGGAAGTGTTTTGGAAATAAAGCTATGGACATTTTTATTACTAAATTCAGTCCTTAATTCCTATGAGAGAGTAGGTATTATTTTAGCAATGTGAGTAGAAGCTGGAGACCAGAAAGATTAAATGACTTCCATTCCCCAAAGACAGTTACTGAAGAACAGGGCCTTGCCTTTGTGGTAGGCTATCCTGGAGATGCACAAAAAGAAATTTAGGAATATTAAGTCATAATTTCCTCACCCTTAAGTACAGTTAACAAACTGCCAAGTCTATTGATTTTTGAGAGGGGAAGAAAGAAATGTGAGAGAACCATCAATCAATTGCTTCCTGTACATGCTCCAAGTGAGGATCAAACCCATGACCTTTTGGTATACAGGGATGATGCTCCAACCGACTGATCCACCCTACCAGGCCATACTCCTTTTCTACCATTCCTTTCCCTCAACCATTTTTCCCACCATTCTTGAAATGTACAACTTAACTTCCTCTGTCACAGAATGATTATAGAGTATATAGTTTAAACAAACAGGAATTAATGCCTATATTCAGTAGACCATTTAACAATAATATCTTAATCTCTGGCTTTGTCTGTAAAAATAGACCTACAAAATAAAAGATTGCTAAAAGCATTTTCTAAGAACATGAAACTGGCACAGGTTATTTACTAAATGATATTTCTAAAGGAAAAACATACAGTGGCCCAGTTAACTATACACTCACCATACTTCTTTCACTTAAAAATTGATTTTTTTAAATTGAAATACTTCTAAAAAGACTGTACACCCAGTTTTTAAGAAAATAAACATTAAAATATAGTTGGGGACCCCTGAATACCCTCCCTCAAGGGTAACCACTATCATGAATTGGTGGTTTTATAATTTCTGTACATGAGTTGATACTTAATTCTTACTCATGTACTGAAAGAATTTAGCATTCTGCAAGTCTGAAAACTTTAAATAAAATTGTATATTGTACATTACATTATCTTCCTGCAATTGTTTTTTCTTCATTTCCAAGATTTATCTTTGGAGATAGATGTAGAAATCTTCATTCCCTATCCAGTCCACTGTAGTCTGGCTTTTACGTGTACCTCTCCACCAAATAGCTCTCATCAAGGTCACCTATTGGTAATTCCAGGGGGCACTCTTCATGTGTAACTGCATTTCTCTTTTCTTCCTCAAATTAGTTTCCTTATTCTTGGTTTCTCCCAAATGTGATTCATGTTTGGTTTTGAGATCCCCAATATTAGTTCCATTATCTACACCATCAAAATTTAGTCATACAAAAAAGAAATTTGGTCTCTAGTGACTAATGAGGTTGGGAAAACATCCTCGTGCAAAAGAATGAGGCTGGATCCTTACCGCATATACAAAAAATAACTACAAATGGATCAAATATCTAAAACCATAAAACTCAAGAAAATAGGAAGAGATTCATATTACTGGATTTCACCAATGTTTCTTGCATTAAAACGGAGTAAGAAAAGCAGCCCACAGATTGGGGAAAAGATATTTGCAAATGACATCTAATAATGGATTAATATCCAGAGTGTATAAAGAACAAGAAATGGGCAAAAGACATATTTTTCCAAAGAAGTTTCACAAATGGCCAATAAGCACATGAAAAGATGCTCAACATCACTAATCAGGAAAATGAAAATCCACATTACAACAAAGTACTACTCACATGCATTAGAATGGCTACTATCAAAAAATGTGTTGGCTGAGAGACAAATACCATATGATCTGATCTCACTTATGAGTGGAACGTAATCAACAAAACAAGCAAGCAAAACAGAACCAGAGACATGGAAATAAAGAACAAACTGACAGTGACCAGAGGGGAAGGGGATAATGGGGGAAAGAAGTGGAAGGGTCAAAGAATGTATTTAAAGGACCTATGTAGGTTGGTGTCGCTCAGTGGATTGAGTGCCAGCCTGCAAACCGAAAGGTAACTGATTTGATTCCCAGTCAGGGCACATGCTTGGGTTGTGGGCCAGGTCCCTAGCTGGGGACCTACAACAGGCAACTGATTGCTGTATCTCATACATTGATGTTTCTCACTATATCTTCTTTCTCCCTCCCCCTCTAAAAATAAAATCTCTTAAAAAAAAAATAATAAAGGACCCACAGACAAAGACACCAGGTTGGGGGAGGATTGAATGTGGGAGGTGGGGGGGGTGGGTAGGGCAGTGGAGAGTAATTGGGGGGAAATGGGGACAACTGTAATTGAACAATAAAAAATGAGTGTTGTCAAGGATGTGAAGAAATTAGAACCTCTGCACTGTTGATGGAAATATAAAGTGATGCAGCTGCTGTGGAAAATGGTAAGGTAAATCTCAAAAAACAATTACCATATGATTTAGCAGTTCCATTTCTGGGTATTTAATCAAAAGCCTTAGAGACATCTGTAGACCCAATCGGCAGTATCCACAATAGCCAAAAGGTAAAAACAACCTTAGTGTCCCTCACAGAGAATGAATTAATATTATTCAACCTTAAAAGGAAGAGAATTATTCAGCCTTAAAAGAAAGAAAATCCTGGCATATCCTATAACATGGATGAAACTTGAGGACATTAAGCTAAGTGAAATAAGCCAATCACAAAAAGACAAATAGAAGATTCCACTTAGAGTAGTCAAATTCATAGAGACAAAGTAGAATGGCGGTTGTGTGGAGAAGCAAGCTGGGGAAGAAGGGAAGGGGAAATGTTTAATGATGTAGAATTTTAGTTAGGGAAGATACAACTCTGGAGATGGGTGGTGGTAATGGCTGAAAAACAATACAAACATTTTAATCCCCCTGGACTGTACATTTTAAGTGTATGTTTTTATTTTCATTTTTAGAGGAGAAGGGAGGGAGAAAAGGAAAGAAACACTGATGTGTGAGAGGGACATTGATCAGTTGCTCTCTCACAACCCCATCTGGGGACCTGGCCCACAACCCAAGCATGTGCCCTTACTGGGAACTGAACCAGCAGCCTTTTGGTTTATGGGACAGTGCACAATCCACTGAACCACACCAGCCAGGGTGAGTGTACATGTGGTGTGCGAGAGGCAACCACACATCAATGTTTCCCTTTTTCCTTCCCCTCTCTAAAAATAAATGAATAAAATCTTTTTTTAAAAAAAAGAAAAAAAGTTCAGTGTCACCCTAATCCTGTCACAGTCTCCCTTTTTCATAGACAGCCCCCACCAGACTTTCAAAATACGGATTTCAGTTTATCCCCCTCTGTTTATTCCAAATGCCTTGAGGGAGAACTGTGTGGGTAGGCTGTCCCTATAGCTTCCTGTTCTTCTACACTCCACTCAGAATCCCTCTATGAACTTGCCTCCATAAAGTGTGTTGGTTCTAAAATCCTTTCCCACTGAAAGCCCTGTTGAATAAAGCAGCAACTTTCAAACTTTAGTCATGAAATCCTTTGTTCAAAATAAGTCAATCAAAATTCCAACAGTAGACTGGTTGAAGAACTAGGTCTGAAGCCTTGCCTATTCAGTCAGTCTTACATACTTCTCTTATTGGAATAGAGGCTGAAAACAAGTGAGGATCAGTATTAATTCATTTCATAAATTCCTCAGTTCCTACTAGTATTTGCTAAGCACTGAGGTTCCAATAGAGAATACGACACAATATCTGCCCTTGTGGACATTACAGTCTAATGAGAATGGCAAATATGACAACTGCACAGCTTGGCTTCCATGTATATGGCTACACATTCCTGAACCATTCATTCAAGGAGCATTTATTTAACCTGTGTTCC